TTATCTCTTTATCTTTGCATGGACTCTCACACAAGCTGGCGCAGTCTCAGCTGAGGCCTCTAGGCATAATAAAAACCCTATAGAAATTCCTGTGCTCTTCCCCCCCGCTGCAGGGAAATGACCACAGGGAGAAGCTATTCACGGACAACCCGCAACTGCTTTGTGTGGCCTCACCTCCGTTTACAGAAATCAGCGCGCTGGCAAGGGCTTGACTTGTGTCATCGGCCAAGGTGATGTTTATGCAGTATGTTCCAGGTTCCTCAAAAGCCCTCCTGATGGTGAGTAAGCATTCGTCAGTGACGATGATGGGGTCGCATACCACACTCTTGGACACCTGGCACGTGGGGTCAGAAACTACTGTGCAAACATCTGTGGGGAGACTGGGATGGGGAGAGAGAACTCATTGCATCTGTGGAGTCCTGTTAGCCCGATTCATAGACACATTGCACTGGTGCTCCAGTTTTATGCTGGTGCCTGTTTACTGGAATCAGTGGCACTATAATGATTTAAGTGTTTTATTAGTACATTTTCTATATATATTTTATACATACCTATATATTTTATATGTACATACATGTGGATTTAATCTAAAATGCATAGATACAATCTATAAAATTATCTGCTTGTTTTACATATCAATTAACATTTTATGGTGATCACAGAATTACCTGCCTCAAATCAGCTTATGAAGTCTGTTAGCTTTAATACACATCATTAAGAAAGGAATGCAGATTCTTATATGTAGTATCATGTGCCAAAAAAGTAAACACTAACTTAAGAGAGGTTGATTCTTTCCTGGTTGCATTACCAAGGCGATTCTTGTACTTCTCAGTCCTCTCGACTCTAATGCATTTCTAGGAGGTACGAGCATTAGTGCAATGTTTTCCTATCCAAGAAATTGCTTGGACACACCCATTTACTCTAAGTGTCAAAAAATCACGGCCAAGAAGAAAGCATTCCCTTCCAATTTCAGTAAACTGCTTCCCATTTCACAGTAAGTGCTGAAATCTTGTCTTGGCCAGGAAAATATTGAATTGTTTCTCCCCACTATCTAGTTCTCTTATTTTTACTGAAACTTGACAATTGTTCTGAATCCTAAGAGCCTGGCAGTAGCCTCTGTTGCCATAGTTTACAAATGAGACTTGCATTGTCTTTAGTTCCAGCAAGAAATAGAAACACTGTAGTTCCCAACTTCTGCTCCTCCAGCTGCATCTAAGTGCAGACAGTGTTCCAGCACCTAATTATTTTTAAAGAGGGAAGATTGACAGTTTCATTCATACACTTACCCCCCTTGGCAGGTAACAACAAAGTCAACCAGTGAGTTTTCAGCCTGACTTTCTGTCATCTGGATGTTCGTCATCTGAATAATATTTACCTCAAGGATTCCCTCTGGGAGAGGAAACAGATGTCAATGGTAGGACATATGACAAGCTCTGAAGTCTGTGTGTACAGTACCTCAAGTATTTGGCTGATGCTCAGTTCAGGTCTTGTTTTCCACAACCTCCTACCTCCCTTAGCACTCCTCTTGAAGGGTTTGAAAGCCAGAATTTTCCAGTGCTTTCCCTGTGAGGCTGCTCCTTTCTGCTCTGCTTTATTTTTCCATTTATGATTATTTACTTATTTGTTTTACTAAATCACTTCCCTGTCCCACTACCCTTGACTTCTGTCCATGCCAAGGTCAACTCAACCTTATGTGACCGCCCCCAGCCCAGTGTGCTTCAGGCATGGCAGGTTCAGAAGCTGATGGTGTAGAAAGCAGAGATATGGTGCACATCCCCTCCAGCCCAAGTGCCTGGAAACACCGCATGTAGCGTGGGGGCGGCCATTGACAGGCATCCAGACCAAGGGCCATCCTCACGTGTCTGAAACCAAGGGGCCATAAGCTCTGTCTCTAGGTCCTGGCAGAGCACGTACAGCAACTGAAGTTGGCCAGTTAGCTGTCTGTACATCAATCTTTAAAAATGTCAGATAGGTCCAAGAGAAGCATCTTATTTTGGGTCTCACGTATTGGATAAAAGTGAGCCTAAAGAAACATTATCTCTGCCGTGCATTGTTGTGCATTATTAACCCCAGTCCTCTGTTCAGGCGTTGACCCACGTCCTTACCTACGACAGAGATACCAGTTCTATAGTATCCATTTCTGTAAATATGGCAGCCCCCATCAGGATTGTCTTCCATTGACTCGACAGCAGTAGAAGAGTCTGAATTAGAAGGTGCTCCAGTTGTAACTGTTGAGAGAGAAAGAATGGATTCACAGCTTTAGAACAAGTTCTGCTTAGAGCTATTCTGAACACAGCCATGAGTTTCTACTGCATTCATTGCACAGGTCATTAGTGACTTTGGTTTGCAGCCGTGCAGCCGTGTGTGTATCTGTATGGGATCATGGCAATGAGCCTTAAAAACCCCACACATGCCCAGCTGCAGAACCCTGGAGTAGCCTGGGTAGCCTCATTCTAAAAGCCACCTTGCTAGTCACACATCTCTGTGAAACAAAAGTGAGACTGCGAGGTTTGATGTAATTAAACACTTCTTTAAAATTCCCAGATCAATTATAGAAGAAATCCAAAGGCCAATTAAAGGTTTAAAATGTTCTCTTTAAAAGCAGGTATTTTGCCATTGCTCTACATTACAGCTAGTGGAAAAATGAAGGGGGGAAGTGGTGAAAATTCTATTTTTCCTTTCATTTTTCATTCTTACTCAACATTTTAGTAAAAGCACATATTAAAATTCTGAAATTTGAAAAATACAGCCACATTTACAATTTAATAGTAGTAGTATTATAACCACCCAGGCTGAAACTACAGACCTTCTGCAGGCCTTTTGCAAACCTTAAAACCCTCTGAGATGATAAAACAATGCTGAACATAATTAAAGTTATTATGAAATACAATAGTGCATAAATTTAAAGCGGAAAAGACATTTTGGGTTAATGCCATGTGGAAATCCCATATTTTGGAGTATGAGTAATTTTTTTCTAGTTCAATCCAATCTCATTTAATTTGGAGTGGAATTTAATGCAAACCAGAAAGGAACTGGCTACAAGAGTGTTCTGAAATACCTTTTTCTTGCTTAAAACTTACATCATACCTCAGAAGATGACCCTGACTAGGCAAGGCTGAAACCACTTGACCTGGTGTGGTAGAGGGTGTAAAATCAAATTTATATATACTGTGTGTCCGCCTGAAGACCTCTGCATGCTGTCACTGTGGTGGTGGAACTGGATGTGTGATGTGTTAAATGTGTAAGTGACGCCTACCATAGAATCATAGATGAGTTTATGTTTATTGATTCTGTCTCTAAACCAATTTATAGAGGGTTTGCAGAGCCTTGCAGCTCTTTTGTTGGTGATGGTAAAACTTCTAAAGATATGAACTTAAAATAGCAGAGTTTAGAGTTTTAGCATAGCTCCCAATATCGCTGCTGTTTGGTAAACTCTTACCTGCTGAGGTGGGCAATGGTGCAGTGGGTGTTACTGGCTTGCAAGGTACAGGTATAATGGCTTGGACAGTTAAATTCAGAGTGAAGTTTCCTTGCAGAGTATAGGTGTGAGATGTAGTGGAACTGCTGGCTACAAATAAGCCACTTCCATCACCGAAGTTCCACTGGTAGGAGATGGCAGAATTATTAAGGTAGTAGCTGGGATCATGGACTTTCACATCAAATATGATCGGTGAGTCTTTAATAAAAATGGAGTCTGAGATGTTGCGGTCATGTTTTTGGAACATACTCACAAATATCGGAATTTTGTCTGGAGGGGAAAAAAAAAGAAGTAAATAAATAGAGCATACATACCTGTCTGCAAACAACAAACAGCTCCAAAATCCCTGAAGAGCGACAGTCAAAATGTGAGACATTAATATCTTTAACCTGGGTTTCTACTTTAATATGATTTGCTGGTCTGAGGAGTGAATGTCAGTAGGAAACAGTTACCCAGAAAAGTGTGGGAAGAAATGAGAAATCTCAGGCATCTGTGGGAGATTGCATTTCCCCTCGTAAATCATTTTTCATTACAAAATAGAGGTGTCACAACTGAGCTAGACACAAAGGTAAATCACGCTACTCAAGGCAATTTACCAGAGATTCCACATTCATATTAAAAACATTTCTCAAGCAAATGCCTTTTCGTGCCAGCTGATGCTTGTGCTGAATTCTTTTAACACCTAAACAACAAATACTCCCAGTATTTTATTGCAGTTTATTCCAGCACGCTCACCTGTTACGACATAAATGGCACTTGCTCTTGCAATTGGAATGTAGGCTGAGTGCTCTCTCCTATAAATGGACACCGACATCACGTGTTTGCCAAGAGTGATGTTTGCTGTGTTGACTGAAAATGTTGCCGAAGATCGTCCAGTTGTTTCGTAGTACTGACCTGAAACAGAACATAAACTTATGTTTTCCCCTTCAGCCTAGCTACAAGTTGATTTAAGAGAAGCAATATCTCTCTGAATCTTGGATTGCTTAAATCAAAATGAATAGCTTAGAATTGTCTTTCAGTTACCTGACAGGTGTTTTTGGACGACTGAATACTTTTACAACGTGTTTACTCCCATTATTTCTTTGGGGTTTTTTTTGAAGGTGTCAGAAAGATGTCTCAAATTTCACTAATCTGAGAAAAATTTGCCAAGGCGTCTACATCTTTCCAAAGCAATTACATTACATTGAGTCATTAGGATTGTGTAGTGGATGGTGTTACCTCTAAGGCATTTTAAGTGGTCTTGTATTCGTACACTGTCAGTGTAGCGAGAAGATATAATACCTCTTGCTTCATACCATTTGCTTATTTGTCTTTGTAACAGCTGATTGAGGTAGGTAAATAGCATCACCCCTACATAAAATTTGGGACATTATTATTGTAAGCCATGCTGATACTGATGGTAATACTGATTTAGCCAAGCCGGCTTAGGATACTAAGATTTAGTATGTAGACGTTGTCAGGAATAGCCCAACTGTTACATACTCAGGAGCTGGAAACACTGAAAATCAGCATCTGTGACCACATCAGTACCACACAGTGGCAGTTTTCATCTCCCCAGAGGCAAGAAGTGCTGCTCTGATAAACTGAACTGAGGACATACAGCGCTATGGTCTCTCCTAAATTTAAGAATCTGCAGTGGCAGTGAGCGGTCAGCAAATCATCTGACTGACCTGCTCGGACCCTCTGTTTTACTAGAAAGGGATCTTGAGTCCTACCGAAAGGAAATTAATTTTCTTCAGTGGTAGTACTGTGAATGCAGATTGAAAGATAATTTCTTGGTAATCCATGATTTCCAGACTGAGCAGCTGATGGCCTGTCTGGGAATGAGTTTAGGATCTCCACTCAAAATCGTGGAATGCTTTTTAAAGGACTTTTAATAAAATATACTCAACAAATGAGTACAGAGTGAATATAAGATTTGCAGCATCAGCCAAACCAAGCGATGTGTTGCGATACTAACCAAACGTGTGAAACACATAGACAAAGTTTCTTCTCCTCCAGCCAGGATAATGAGGGAAAGGTCTCCCGTCTGGAAATACGTTATGGCTGTGGTTGCTTGTGCAGTTTTCCCAGCCACAGTTGTCGATCCATTCAGTCCAGTTGTAGACATAGATTTGCTGATCCTGGGAAACCGGAGGATCTAAGTGTAGAAATAGGACATGTTCCTGGTTAACTGAGAAATGCGCAGAAAGTCAGGAAACAGGAGGCAGACACCCTAGGTAACAGCAGTTATTGCACTTAAACAACAGGTAAAGCATGGTGGTTTTAGACTGACATTTTGTTTTTCTGAGTGTGTTTTTTTGGTTTTTAATGTAAACACCAAATTGTTCTGGCTTGGCATTGTTTTATTTAGAAGCTTAAAAAAGTTTTACTGTCTCACGACAGAGTTTAAAATTGCTTGCCCAAAACTTGCTGTTGACTACACGGAATGCTACTGTTTCACCGGAGTTAGTGGGGCTACCTGAACATTTGGCAAGCAGAATCTAAAATTTTAAGTAGAAATAGCAGCCATGGAAGCAGTGTGAGGAAGTGACTTAGTTTGTTTTGTCAGAGAAGTTTTCTATGGCACCTTTAAATAACTTAGACATGAATTTCAGTTCCTTTCTGAATGAAAAAAAGACAGTTTCCTTCCCCAAATGGCACAACAGATATTAAGTAGAGAATGGATATCAACAGTTAACAAAACATTAGACAGTCAAAAAGTAGAACTCAGGCTGACAAAAAATTTGCTGATATGCCTTGAAATGAAAATTGCTTTGATCGGTAAAAAAATTTGTTGAACTTTTATGAATTCAGAGGAAGAAATGTACAACAGCCTGTTTCACTCTAGATCCAGCAGCTTCAGACATTGAAATTGTGATAGGTTTTTTGCTCTGTGTAACAGTAAATAAGATGGAAAAGGTGATATTATGATGAAAAGATTGCTTGATTTTTAAATTATTTATTTATTTGTTTGTTTTTCATTCTTAAAGCGTGGGAATGTGAGATTTAGTCTTTCTTGAGGGTTTTTCAAGATGCAGGTGATGGTTGGTGAGTTCCACAATTCCTAATTAAAAAAATAATCACAATTTTATAAATTGACAGCTTTATAAATTTAGAAGAAAACAAGTGTGCCTGTGCAACCTTGTGACTGAGCTGAAAAGCAGTAACAGTTTTGTTAGGAAGCCAAATTAATGTCACTGCTTTGGGAAAGCAACTTGATAGTGAGGGCATTATATGTATCTCATTATATATATATATATATTGGTCATTATATAGAGAGGGTGCAGAATGGTAAAAAATACCACAGTGGTGATCTCAGGAAAGAAACTGGTGTGGCACAGGTTAGACACGAGTGTAGTTGTCAGTTAAAAGCGCCATGGCTGTTGTGTGCCTCTGACGTTTCCAAAGGTTCATGACACGCTCACACCAGCAGCGTAGTCAGACGTGCATATAGTGCAGGGAGACTGCCGTTACCTACCCTGGGTGCAGTTTCTCTCGTATATTATGTTGCCATCATTATCTTCTTTCTGGCACTTGGGAAACTGGAGAGTCACAGCAAAGGTCACGTTGGATCCTACCAGTGCTGGGCTATCAGTGTCCAATTTGGCTGTCACCCTTCCGCCTGTAGAAAAGAAAATTGGTCCTCACACAGTAAAGGGAGCGTCAGAAGAGCAGCTACCCTCAACTGAGCACTATTCGCATTAGAAATGCTTTATTGATTCCTCTGTTTCCAAGGGGTTTTGTGCTTCTAAGTCACTTGCATTCTTCTCAAAACCCAAACTTAGAACAATCAGAAGGACTCATCATATCATATCTCTTACTGGCCTGTCATTCATTTCTAAGAATATTTTTTCTTACCCGTGGGGGTCAATATATTCCAAAGGAGAATATTTTTGTTTCTCCTCAGTGATAGAGCCTTTGGACCTCCATTCAGACCAGGTAATAATAAACTGGGTCTTCACCAAAGTTGTCAAACTGAAGCCCACAATCCCCTACTGAGGCAGCAGTTGAAGCTACCTGCCCTCTAGGGCATGTTCCAAACAATAGATTGTCCTAGACCCCTGGTCATCAATTCTTCTTAATAAGTGTTAATGTCTGAGGCTATGAGTCATGGGAAAGCATTTACTGTAACAACCCACTGTTCTGCTTCCTCAGGCAATGTACTCGGACAACGGGATCAAAGGCAATCATCTCCAATTTGCTATTCCTTGCAGCCGCAGTGGGTATTGCACCTACGAAAAAGCACTATAGCACCCGCAGTCTTCAATGAGGTGGACTTTCTGGCCTTTTTTCTCAGTGTCTTTGTTTTCTCAGTGTCTTTGAAATGCATATATGTGATCACCTTTCCAGCAGTCTTTCCATCTGGGATCTCCTTCTTCCCAGAAAGGGTAAAGCTTTTCGTTCCATTTATTTTGATCACTAGACCAGCCTTGGAGCGTCTTGTAGGATGTAACAAGAGAAGTGCTTCCATGGCTCAGCACATCTTGAAACCCTAGAGAGAAAAATGAACGTGCAATGTAATAGATACATATAAAAACATTGCTGTTGTGCTGAACTTCTTGTTACAACTATATTCTTGTACTGATTAGAAAACTCTTCACTAGTAGAAAGTTATGGAATTTTATCACTGCAGCTATAAATGCATGAACTATAACCAACATAAAGAGAATTCCACCACTGACAGACTGACATTTTTCTACTTGCACTATTGCACGCTTTCCAGACAAAGAATAAAAAAGTTTACAACATTTTGACTATATCAGAGCAACAGTTTGTATGAATGGACATAACCCTGCAACAATCAGGCTAGTTGTACAGAGGTTGCTTGATTGCTGACTGCTTTGTGCTGGCCTGGTAATAAATCTCTGAGTAAAAGGCTAACAGGATAAATTCACTCTGTGTCTGAGTTGTGCTCTAGTGGAAGTTATGCCAGGAATTAATTTTGATCCAGTGAAGCTTCTTTTGTGAGTTGGCTGGTGGTTTGGGTGGGAGGGGTGGAACCAATTGTAACAGAAGCTGGTATTTCCAGAAAAGGAAATTTAGAGCTGAATCGTAAATTCAGTGTGTTTATAATATAAAAACAAAAACATATTAGCTTCGTGTCTATTACTTTAAAATGGCTCAGATATTAAATAACTTTTATGACCTCTTTATTCTCATATTATGACAAATGATGGGCTCAAACTTTTCCCAGGCCTTCTAGGATCCCTCTTTCTGTCACAAAGTACACATGATGAAAAGCAAAGTAAACATCCAAGTAACCTGTAGGAACTTGTCAACCACTGTAGGATGCCATAAAAATGTGTTTGCAAGTAGGCTCACAGGCAGAGTTCCATTAAAGCCTGGGGGCTTTAAACAACTCTGTCATGTTCATCAGGTAACTGCTGGGAGTGCCATTCTGTCACAACATCAAGGGAGTTAGGACTTCTGCTTTTCCTGGCTTCGTTTGGAAGGTAGCTGGTGCTGAATGCTCCTGAGATTTATACCCAAGTGCAGCAAAGAGCTGGGTGACTTCAAGGAAAACACAGAGAGCTGTAGGAAGGGCAAGGATGGCCCTGTGCGCTGTAACATAACCGGCTGCGTTGGAATTTCTCTGGGTTTTGGAGAAGGCACAGAGCAGGTGTAACCAGTCTAAGCACAGTCTTTGTGGGCATGCGACTCCTAATTTTACTGCAAGGGAGAACCAGAGAAACAGCACTGAAGAACAGGCAGGAGCTGCTTTCTCTAGACGTTTTATTGTCCAGTGAGATTTCTGCTGGGCAGGCAGGACATCCCTTGGCCAGCCCCATCTCAGTGGTCACTCTGAACTGGTGCTGGTAGCGCTCTCCCCAGTCTTGTGGACTGAAAAGTTCGGGGGAAAAGAACAGATTTTGCCCTCAAGAGACATATTCTCCCACAGTCTTTTGCCCTACAGGAACTCCACACAGTCTCGCTTAAATCACTTGAATCAAGACTTTCCTGCAGATTTAAGATATTTTGATGCGAGCAAAGCATAACATCATGACTGGTATTTACTTAATGGCCTGTACCACGTGCTGAATTGTTTTTCTTCTTGGTCAGAAGAGTTGGGTAATGTTGTCCTTCAGAAACTTTTCTCAGGGAAAAAAACAGATTAGCAGCTGTAAGAGTATTTCACAAAGGCTGATCAAGTTCAATTACATTTTAGGTCATTAAACTAATGTGTCATCTTATTTGAAAGTAAGTAGCTAGGAATTTTTCCTAATTTCTTTTTCCCATTCTTATTGATTTTATCTAAAAATTATTTAATGAATAAAAATGTTTTGATTTTGTCAGATCAAAACATTTCAATCATTGTTTTTTCCCCAAATGCTCAATTCATCAAAAAGAGCTGGAACACTTTTAATTTTATAAATGCTTTTAATTTTGAATTTTCAATAACCATCCTTGAATTCAGAAGTAATTTTCTTGTCCAGCTTTGGTAATAACTGTTGTGGTCACTGCTTCTAAACCACAAGCTGCTTGGGCGTTTCTGTGCTTCCCTGATGTGCTTTGTTTATTTCAATCGAATATAAAACATTTCACAAGCTTCAGGACAAGACAAAAACATTTTTTCAGATGAGCAAAGACTTCAGCACTAGTTTCTCTAACACATGGAATGGAAGATTTTCAGTTGCTGAATGTAAAGGAAAAAAAATCTTTAATGTATTTCTTCTTTAACAATGAAAACCACTCAAGAACAGATGTTGGTCATAACCAAAATTAGAGCAATTCAGTTTGAACTAGACAGAGCAATATTACACTCCAAGGAACTGATTACTGTAATCATTTTGGTGAGGTGGTCATAGGAGAAAAGATCTTATACTCTGATTGACTTTCTTCTTTCTCATTCTGGTGAAAAATGTAGCAAAGGCATTTGCTACGTTTGTTCAGCATTTCCTGTGATAGTGTGTTAGCCGGGAAAGAGAGAACGAAAGGCAATATTAGAACAACAGCAATAAAAAGATGACCAGCTAAAGAGGCTGGAAGGGTAGTAGAAGTAAAATGGCTGAAGACAAAAAATAATGTGAACTTGCTGAAGTCACATATAGAAATATAATAAAGCAGGACAAAAAAGAATTTGAGGAACAACTTGCAAAATCATAAAAACTGCTGATTAATCTTTTTTTTTCAAATACAAAAGTAGTGGAAAGCTGCCAGAAAGTCTGTAAGGCCAAAAGGTAATGTAGATACAAAAAGAAGCATTTAGGGTAGATAAAGGGATAGCACAAAAGCCAAATACATTAGTTTACGTTTTCATTCACAAAGGAGGAGCATAAGAGGTTTCTGTGCTAGAATTTTTCTTTGCAATGGTGGAGAATCTCTCTCAAAATGAAGTGTTGGCATAAAAAAATAGAACAAATGAGCAAAATGAAGAAGTTGTCTAGATAGGTTGGCTCAGAAAATGTGGAAGTTATTCAAGAGTGAAATAAACGAGCTATTAACCATAGCATGTAACATCTTGCTTGAAACTGCTTCAGTGGCTGAGAAACAAAAGTTGGCAAATGTGATGACAGTTTTTAAAAAACACTTCCAGGCAAGATTTAGAGGATTACAGAAAGTTTGAGGCTCAAATTGGAGAAGCTGGTAGAAACAGCAGTGGAGAACAGAATTAGCAGATACAGTGGATTAATATGATACGCCGTAAAAGGAGTGCATTCCTCACAAATATATTCAAGTTTCGCTGAGGGAGCCAGAGAGCATGGGAACAAGGCTGACCTGCCTGTTGTAGTCTGCTCGAGTTCCACACAGCATTTGATGAGGTCCCTTGCTAAAGGCACATAAAGGAACTAAGTTACCATGGGATAAGAATGAAGGATTTCACATGGATAAATAGTTCGTTAGGATATATGAACCAGAAGTTATGGATAAGTGGCCAGTTTTCTCAACTGTTGGAACGATCTAAAATGTTCATAATCTAGAAGACGGGTAAAGTTCTTTAATCTGATTGAAGACAGTGTTTTAAAGTAGTAGAGGGGAGGACTGTACGAGTCTCAATGACTCAATAAAATTATATGAAATTCAGCATAGTTAAATGTAACTTTACTTACAGAACAAGGGGCTCTAAACTAGCTATAGCCACTCAGAAATGAGATCTTGTAGCTTTACAGTTTTGAATGCAGTACTCATTGGTAGTTGAAAAACCAGGAAAAGGCTGGATAGAGAACGAAAATGAAAATGTCATTACAGTATTGTATAATTCCATATGTGTTCATGTCTTGAATGCTGTATGCTGCTCATTTCTCTGCAGCTCAATCAGGGTATAAGGGAACAGAAAAAATACAGAGAAAGGTGGCAAGGATGCTACAAAGGGATAAAATTGTTTCCATAGGAGGAACAGCTAAATAGACTGTGTCTTGAGCCTGGAGAAGAGGTGACAGAGGAGAGTGTAAAAACAGAATCATGAACAGCATGGAGGAAGAGGCAATTTGTCGCTATTTCTGAAAGTACAAAAGTTGAAGAGAATCAAATTAAACCAGCAGGTTACGGGTTCTAAGCGCATAAAAGATATTTCTTCATGTAAGGCACAGTTCAGGTGTGAAATTTCTTGCTGGCAGGGTGTTATGTGTACCAAAAATGTAACACGAGCTGCAATCAAAACCCAAGTGCATGAATGGATGGAAGAAAAGTCCAGTAAAACCTGTTAAATACGGTGACTCTGCATTGGACAGAGGCAGTTCTGGTGCTATAGATCATCAGAGGCTGAGAAAGTGTCCTGAGTAAATACTAGCATACACTTGCATCCATTACTGTTTCCCATTGGAGACAGGTACAAGGCTAGATAGATGCTCAGCCGGACCTCAGCTTTTAAAGTCTTCAGTTTCCTTACTGTGGAGTCTGGAATTTCAGCCTAAAATCCCACTTCTGGGTTCCCAGCCCAGAGCTCAGAGAGTCAACCTAAGACTTGAGTCAAGCTGGGAGCCCAGAAAGAAGCAGAGGATCAGCCCAGTGCCTGCCCTCCATGGCTTGAGGATCCGATTCCTTGACTGGGCTCCCTGAGGTTGGGGATCCACAGGTCTGGGTGTCCCGACAGGGAGCACTGCTGCTGCCCTGGCCTCTCCCAGACACAGCTGAGCTGAGCAAACTGAGAGAAGTCCATTCTGCATCTGCCTTTTTAGCCACGCTTCAGCTGGGGAAATACTGTTGGAAATTCGTTGAAATGAGCCAAGGCTTAGCTCCGGTCAGCTCTGGGTATCTGTGGAGCGCAAGAAATAGATAACCGGACAGCTCTCGGCATATTTCTCCAGCTCAGGTGACATTTCTACCCAGAGCCAGGCAACCCTGAGGTAGGGCTAGCTGTTGCCTACAGATTCCCAAGCACAGCTCCAGCACCCGCTGCACGTTCAAGGAGCAGCCGGTTTTACCCCACTGGCTCAGAATGTCGAACCCATGGAGGCAGGGAGAGAGGATGGGGGGGAAGGAAGCACTCACGTGTGGCGGCAGCACACAGCACCAATTCGGCCAGGAGCAGGAATCCGAGGTGGAGGTGAACGCCGCTCATGGTGCCGGAGACCCTGCACTGGCTCGGCTCGCACAGAGGAGCGGAGAGTTACCAGTGCCTGCACACGGTAACTCTGCCAGTCCCCACTGAGAAGTGAGAATGAAGTTTCTCTGCTGCTCTGCTCTCCAATTAAATGAAGGGCCCCGGGATTCATCATGTGATGGAATTAAGCAGAGATGCATGATTTTGTCTTCAGCTTCTTTCAGCTCATGTGCTTATGACTCACTGCCTTTGCTTTCAGCATTCCCTGGGATTTCTGAGAGACCTGTTTGGTGCCACACCATTTACCTCACAGGCATTTTTATGCTAGTTTTGCACTATGATCAATTTTTATACTTAATTTGATTTTAAATTAGGAATGTTTATTTCTAGCAATCCAAATTAACTCTTGCCCCAGCCTGATTTGTAAGTGTTACTGCAACAGCTCACTGCATTTGATGGACCCGTGGCTACTTAACCGTGGGTCTCTCCCCACATGCTGGGTAACAACAAATGTAGACTGGCCAATTCCAACATATTCCTGGACTTGCCTCCTGATCAGAGTTGATTGTTAAGGAAAATGTTATTGAAACATTTAGCAGGCACATGCGTGTAACATCTGACCATGGTTGCACAATACGATGTGCCCATGGTTAGACGTGTGGTCACAGACCATATGTAACAATGGCCAGTCAATATCTAGCTCACAAGTTGCCATGACCTACACAGAGACAAGTACTTCATTAGATATACCTTGTGGTGTGTAGAGATAAAGGAAATACAGACTTTGTTGCCCAACCTAATGAGATATAATCAGTGGCTCAAGAGCAGTAGGGTAATACAGGCAGATTGGCAAACACTGCACTTAGTGGTTCAAATTCAGGTTCAACATGCTTCACCAGCCCAGGCATTCTTCTGCAGGCAGTGTAGCAACCAAATTTCGTTGCAGCCCTGGCAGCCTTGTGAAGTTTCATGCTTTTTTTTTTTTTTTTTCCCCAGCAAAGAACAAGCTTTTGTGAGACAACATGGCATAGAAGCAAGTATGGTCCTCAAGACAGGAGTTCAGTAGTGGTTTCAGTGATCCTAAAATATAGCACTGGCAAGTGAGACACTGGCTAGCCAGAAACCAGCAAGTTGGGCAACACTAAACCATTTTTATTTTGGGCAGGGCAGATGGAAGTCTGTAAGTCCAAGGCACTGTCAATAGAATGAAGAGATTGCCCAATGGAAGGAGATTTTAGAACTGCGACTACTCATTATTTTTATTTTTTGATTTGTTCTTAGTTTCTTCCATTTTTTCTAGCATTTTCTATTTTCTGTGTAAGTTATTGTCACTACCTGGGGCACCCCAGCCAGCGTTTCTCTCAGTAATGCAGTCTCTGATGTCCAGTCCTGCACATCTTGCATATGTAGGCTCCATGGTTCAGCACCCTCCTGGCTGGAGCCAACCCTCCCTCCTACTGCCAGCCAAGGAAAAGGGTGAAGGCAATAGCCTTGAGGATACCAGGCTTGTTTAAACTAAGCCCTCATTATCTGGCAGAAAGGAGAGGTAGCATAAATCAAAGTCAAAGCTGTGACTGAGTATGCAAAAAAAATCATATGACTGCAGCGTCCTCATGTGATTGTAGCTTTTTTGTTGTTATTAAGTCAACTACATTCCCAGTCGAAATGTCAGGTTTCAAAGCCATTCACAATTATTTTTTAAGCCATATGGGACATTAACTCTAATTGCACTCCTTTGTTTCCAGGTTGTTGATCCTAGAAGTGAAAAGTGACCTTCAAACACTGTGTTTCAGCACAGGGGGCCTGATCCAAAGTCTGCTGGGGAGAAAGGAGGTTGGAACGCTCGTTCCCAACAGGGTTTTGAGAACCTCCAGAGGAAAACTGCTGACAACAAATGCCTGTTAATTAAAAACAAAAATTTATCAGCCTAAAAACAATAAAGTTGGTTAGGATGGAGTTTTTTGCCATGTTATTTGATACATGAAATTGTTACATAAATGTTGAGTGACACTCTCAATAAGGGCCAGCTGGTGGAAATTATTAAACACGTTGTAAATAGACTTCAGGGGCACTGAGGATCAGGCCTGTGGTTAGAGGAATCCAAACCCACCAGGGCTGGGGTAATGACTAAAAGGTGGCCATACTGTGACGCTCTGGTCCTTCGCCTTCTCCCTCCTCAGCTCTTGAGCCTTAGACTACGCATTCCTGGAGGGCTGACACAGAAGTTGTTTGGAGCTGCTTGTGCTGTGGCTGCAGCCAACGGTGCTAGCAAGAAAAGAGGAGAAAGCCATATAAGAAGGGAAGAAAGAGCTAGGAGGAACAGAGATGTAAAAGGAGTGAAGAGAAGAAAAATGCCAAGGAATGGGAAGTGAAGACTGAAGGGACCATCTGAAAACTGAGCTGGCTTCTTCAAACGTCCCAGCTGTAGCTGACTATGCCTGAAAATGAGTCTGTCTGAAACACTGAAAAGTTGCTTGAAACTGGTTGATCATCACCAGATCTTAAATTAACTTTATAGTTTTTACATTATTATTCTTGGTCTCTGAGAAACAGCTTCACAGTTAAAGCAACTGAACTGAATTGTGCAGCTGTCAAAGGGAAAAGATTTAAAATATATCCTAAATATTCTCCTAGCACATTCAGAGAGATTTAAGGCTTAATCTGACAAAGAAGTGGGTGGGTAGGAAGTTCTTGGTGCTTCGCAGCTTTAGCGCCTCAGTTATTAAAACTTGTTGAGGAGATAGACATCTCTGCTACCTGAAGGCCTGTCAGATGACAGGGTGTGAGCACATCATGTGTACCTGCATGTCTAGACTGCAACAGAGCTGGCAAGCTCGCACTGCTATCACACCGCCATCGCTGCAACACGAGTACAGGAATTGCTAATCACTGCTCGAAGGAACTTTAAAAAAAAAAAGAAAAAAAAAGAAAAGAAGGGATTTGAAGAATAAACTTGACTTTTGGCCAAGCCAGCAAAGGAAAATTAGATAATCTTATTTTGGCAACCAGGTACTTTTAGGTAAATGCTGTCTGCCGTTACCAATGGCCTCTTGAGGGAACTCTGCTTAAGGCTGGACAAATGCCCTTTCTGGGAAGAAATCATCTGTGTCTTGCTTCACGTGGGGCAGCGGCCGTCAGCTGACTGGACTGAACATGTAAACAAAGCTGTGTTAGAAGTCCGCTGTCTTTCTTGTTGTAGGGGGGGGGGGAAAAGCTTTACAAAAGCTCTTGATCAGTGTAGGGCACCATCCAGCTCAGCTTATCACTGAGAAATGAATTAACCCTTGCAACTGGACAAACAGGCTTATTAGTAATTCCAGCATCTTCATTTTTTGCTTTTGAGGTAGCATTTTACCCTTTTTTATGGGCAGATAGTTCCTTGCAGTCATACTTCTCTCCAAATTTCTGTGTTGGATTTGAAGTCTTCCAAACATGCTTTTTGACCATAGCATGCAATTCTGGAATTCTGGAGATTTTTTTTTTTTTTGTGATAAAAGTAGGGTTTGGCCTGATTTCCTCTAGAGGGAAGGCTTGAATGGGCAGACCAGCTCTCTGCCTTTTTAAGGGTGTCTCTGTTTGTCCCTCCCTACAAACGCTAAACTCACTGCTCAGTCACAGCCATGTGTGTGGCAGAGTGACCCAAAATACCTCATGAAAGCGGCTTGTCGGGAGGGTAGAGGAACCCAAGGAATCATCTGCAGTGCTTTGACATCAGCAAATCCTCACGAGAGCTCAGCCTTGAGATACAGACCCACAGAGCACCCCAGTTCACTCATCCCCCACAGGTGGACTTGGCTTCCCTGCCCATGGGAGTTCTCACTAGTGCGTGCAGACGACCAGCAGTTGAAGACAAAGCACAATAACAGATACCGACCCTCCACACGGCACCACACATCTTTTTTTAAAGGTGTGTAGGCAAAGCAAATTTGTTCAATGTCTCTAGGCAGGGTTTTGTTTTTTTCAAACTATGGTGTCGGTGCAAGCAGCAGGTGTAGCTATCTTGGTAGCCCCAGTCTCTGCTGCCATAGCCCATGGTCTTCTCAAGGCCTCTGTAAGCTTCTGGCTCGTTCTGTGGGCACCTCAGCTGGCTCACTTTCCATTTTAAAGCTGCCACACTTCATTTACAGCCTGGATATTGGTTTTACTGATTTAACGAACTGTTAGTTACATGGTTTATATTCATCAAGGCACAGTTGTCCTCCAATCAGGAGAGCAGTTATTTGCTGTGAAAGTGCATGATTATGACTGTGAGACCCACATTTTACATCATATTATAATGAAATCCCTGTTGTTCAGAGAGATTTTTAAAGATAGCTTTTGTATCATTCAGCTCAAAAGAAGCAACCAAATTATCGCTGAAAAGTTCTGTTTCCTCTAAAAACATTCCCTGATATTTTGGCTAGGAAAAAGAGAAAAATTTCTTCCAAAAAAGTAATTCAGAAACAATCAAACCAGCGAAACCCAACCAAAAAGGTGATGTATCAGAGAGAATACACTTAACAAGAATGGCTGCTGTGTAGTCATTTTGGCGGGAGGACACTGACGGAGAAGTAGTCTCATAGCCAAAGTGTGCTTCTTTAAAGCTTTTCTAAGAAACGATATAAACTGAATGTACTCAATCGTACCTCATTCCCTGTATATGCTATGTTTCACTTAATATGGACTGGGGATAAGAGTTCATCACAGACACTCAGTTATTTTATGGTCCAGTGAAATTGCCTTGATGGCTCAAGAAATAACCTCAGCACTTCCCTGAAGTAGAAGGCAGAATAAATGAAAATGCTGGCAGCTGAACTTCAGCATAACATGCTCTTTAACGTGTTAACAGCAAGAATATGGTCAAAATTCTACATTTTTTGGACTGTATTCCCACTGACTCATGGCATTAATTCAGACAGTAACCTCTTCCTTAGAAGCTAGACCCAGCAGTGAATATACAGGCAACGGAGGGGGGGAGAAAAAAGATCCATGTATTATACAGCAACCAACTTTCTATCTAGAAGCCCAGTTTAGATGGT